CGGCATTAAAAAGGTTGAGAACCACTGGTCTAGACCAGGGCTTTTCAACCTTTTCACCCATTGTACCACTTTTAGGATATAGCAATATCCGAGTACCACCAGTCGCCTAGCAAGGTGTCAAAAACCTGATGACGCCCCCCCAAAAGGAAAAAAGTGATAAAGCACAGGTAGTCCTCGACTTACAACAGTTCGCTTACTGACTGTTCGAAGTTACAATGGCACTGAAAAAAGTGCCTCCCAAGCCACAGCCGAGCAAGACACCTGCCTGCCCGCCCGGCCGCACTCTTCCTCCTCTCCGAGGTTTTCATTGTTGTGAGCATTTCTGTTGAGGATTGGCAGCAGGGGTGGGGTGGGGGTGTTTGGTTTTTATTCCCCCCATCTGCTGGGTGGTTGCAGCAGGTTTCGGTCACTTCACATGACCCTGGGACACTGTGACCATCATAAATATGAATCAGTTGTCAAGCATCTGAATGTAAATCACAAGACCCTGGAGATGCTGCAACATTCCAGCTGATTGGTGCTTCTTCAGGGCTCAGAAGCGCCAGGATCAGGGCCAAGCTCCAGCTGGATCCTGGCGTTGATCCTGGCACTTCCGCTGAGCCCTGACAGCCCTGCAGCTCCAGCCGTCTCTCGCTCAGGCTTGTGCGGTGCTGCCACCGGTTCAGTCCATTCCCCTCCCCCGCTACCACTTTTCTGGGATGGTCGCGTGCCACCTGCCAGGTGCCAATGTACCACAGGTGGTACCCGTACCACTGGTTGAAAAGCCCTGGTCTAGACCAATACCTTGTAGTATGCACAACCTCTATTAACCTTTACATCAATGCAATAATCCGTCTGCTAGGAACTATTAGAGAAGGCTAAGGGGTGAACCGTACCAGGTGAAGAGGGAAGAATATTACTTTTGTATTATGCTTACAATATTATGCTTATATTATGCTTTCTGTTTATATGGCATTTGAAATGTTTAAAAGACAAGCATGACTGAGATGCAGACTTAAAATGCCTCCTCTCAACTATCCTTTAAAATTCAAATCCTTTTCACTTTTTCCTTCTTCCATCTTACTTTTTACCATCACATCACAATCCCTGTATTTAGTTATTGGTAACCCAAACATTTTAACATGCAATTTTAGGAAGGGAAATCCTTGTAGGTGGAAATGTAGAAAAATGACTGTTGAGATAAAATAAAGATGGTGGTTTGTCAACATATGCTTAGATAGTAATTGAAAGACTGCATATTAATCAAATTCATTGGACCAGATCCTGTTCCATATTTTTTCCCAGAATGTCCTTCTATACTATAAAGTTGCCATGCAATTTACACATACCAAAACAAAAAAAAAAATCTAAAACTTGGTCAAGATATGCTAGAGTGAAAATTTCAAAAATCTGCAGGAGGTAAAATAATTTGTGAAAATTTTAAAATCTTGCTTTCAAAATTTGATTCTGACAATCCTTTTTAATATAAACTTAAAATATTACTTTTAAGGCAATCAAAAGCACAGCTTGCTAAATGCAACTTTTTACATCCCTTCCCTCACCTTAATATTCCCAAATTGAGTTTAATTTAAACAACAAATTTAAATTCAACAAAAAAAACAAATGTTTTGCAAAAAAAAATTAATTTTGGAAGAGTGAAGTGGAGAACACATACCCTTTATAAAAAAAATTAACTTCGGTTCTGGTAGGAAAAAAATGATTTTATTTAATGCAGTGTGGAATAAAAGAATCATTTTTCCCCCTTGGTTGCATTAATAGACCTCCCCAGACACTCACTTTTTACGTGCACAGTAAGTAATAATACAATTTTTGCATTATTTGTAATGCCACATCAATTGTGCATGTATTGGAATGGCATTATGTCATGAATTACCCATCAGCAGTCGTCTTTCTTGATGCAAGATTGTTACTAAAAAAGAGAAAAAGTGATTGTTTCTCCCTAAGAAATAAGCTCTGTGCTGCAGTGTGTAATTCAGTTCATGTATTTTTAAGTTAAAGGTAAAATGTGTTGAATTGTCTGAAAAACGCTGGTGAGGCAGGAAGAGGAATCTGACTGAGGGATTCAACAGGGCAAGATTAACTCAGGTTTTAAATACTGAATTAATTTTTGTCGATACCTGTAGAGAATTGGGAAGATGACCTTGAAAGAAATTTAAAAAAGAATTTTTGCCTAGGCAGAGGGGGCTGAAATATTTTTCAAGATTTGAGAAAAATTAGAAAGTGGCCTAGGAAGATATCTCTTTGATGTACTGGAGTATAAGTAGTAGGCTGGGGAGGAAGGTACAGCAGAGTCAGACTTGCAAGATTCTGTTATTATAGCCAATCTCAATAAAATTAATTCTGGTCTTCCTGTAGAGTTGATTTCCCTGTGTGGCCTATCTAGTGAGGCTGACATAATCCGATTTCAAGGACACAGCCGTATTCATCCCACCCTCTTTAATCAATAGCTTCTCTGTGTAGGGCAGCTTCAAAATTGATGTGCGCTCGTGTGTGCGTGCGAGGCCATGCACACTGGCGCAGCACTAGCAGCCCTGTTCACGTATGCGGCATGTGCTGATGCCATGTGCATGCGCGAACAGCCGCGTGCCCCCCACAGCAGATAGCGGCCTGTTCACGCATGTGCAAACCGGCTGTGCAAACTGCCCAGACTAGCGGCGCATGTGCAAACAGGCTGCGGACACCCGCCCCGCGCTAGCATCGTTTGCACCCGCACACATGCGCTAGCACGAGGGGGGGAATGCACACCCACGCTTGTGAGCACCGGCCAGCATTTTCCATGGCCCGATGGCCACGAGCCCACAGCCCGGTCCGCAGACCATAGATTGGGGACCCCTGGTGTACAAGATGGCATTTTCACATTCTTTTCAATGGAGTCCTTCCATGAAGCAAGAACTTATTGACACCCTAAACATGTACTGCTAGAAGAAGGCAAGGTACCTGCTGTGACTCCCACCTGTCCTAGTTCTCTTAAGCTCTGACAGTAATTGTTCCAGATCTGGACCATCTGCTCAAAGGTTGAAAAGCCAAAAATCTTGCTGGATTTTGGAAAGTCATCAAGGGGTAGAACACCAGCCTTCTACAGGTAGTCCTCGACTTACACCTGTTCCTTTAGTGACTGTTCAAAGTTACAATGGCACTGAAAAAAGTGACTTATGACCTTTTGTCCCAGTTATGACCATTGCATCATCCCCATGGTCATGTGATCAAAATTCAGATGCTTGGCAAGTGGTTCAGATTTATGACTGCTGCGGTCTCCCGGGGACATGTGATCCCCTTTTGCGACCTTCTAACAACATCAACCGAGAAGACAGATTCCCTTAACAACCAGGTCACTAACTTAACAATTGCAGTGATTCTCTTAACAATTATGGCAAGAGAGGTTGTAAAACGAGGCAAAATTCACTTAACAAACCTCTCACTTAACAACAGAAACGTTGAGCTCAATTTTGGTCGTACGTCAAAGGACTACCTAAATGGAGAAGGTCCCCAGCTGAATCCGTAGTGCAGGTAATCCTCATTTTAGCAGTGACTGGAACCACCAACACTGTTGTTAAGCAAAGTGGTGGCTTAGTGAAATCACGACTATTGTGAAGGTGGTTAAGTGTGAGGACTGGTCATAAAGAAGCTGCTTTTTCATCACCGTTATAACTGCAGACAGTCACTAAACAAGGACTACTTGTATTGCCAGGTACAGTTGAAAAAACTGCTTAAAAACTCTAGGTTGAGTTGAACCCAGGCAAAGCTGACATTAATATAATGGATGGACGAGTGTAAGGCAGTTTTCTTTGTTCCTCTTTTGTTATTACTTGGCTAGATCCTCCTTGTCCTATAGCAGTGGTGGCGAACCTATGGCACGTGTGCCAGAGGCGGCACTCAGAGCCCTCTCTGTGGGCACACATGCCATTGCCCCAGCCTTGTCTCCCCTGACCCCATCAGCAGCCCCCCTGGAGGAGAGTTGCTCCCGAGCGTGGCCCACGCGGAGCAGCACAACCAAGGACATGGCAGCCAGGCAGCATAGACAAGACTCTGCCCTCACGCCTCATCGCGCGCAGTTGATGCTGCGGGGTGCAGGCAGAGGGCGTGGCCACCATGGCACTGCTGGGCTGCCTGGGCAATCTGCGGTAGGCCCTGGAGGCGGTGAGTGGCCCTGCGGGCAGGCAGGGTGGGGATGGGGCAGGGGGTGGAGCGGAGGCGGGGCCAGTTTTTGGGCACTCGATCTCTAAAAGGTTCGCCATCACTGCCCTATAGTAAGCTAGGCCCGGGACTACTTGTTACTTTTAGTGCTGCTCTGCTGGCATGAGATTTCCAAGGCATAAAATATCCCAAGATATAAACCCTTGTACCTGCCTCCCTCTTCTTCTCAGCATTCTTCTGGAAGGGAAACTTTAGCTGGCAAATCAATCTTAAAATAAAAGAATCAACAGGGAGCCAGGATACTAAACGTCAAGATCTTGGTGGATGAAAAAAAAACAAAAAACCTTTCGGTTTAAATAGTGCTCTCTCGTCACAGTAATATCCACACGGAAAGGGAAATATAAATTATGCCACAGTTCTGCTTAAGATAGGATTTCCTCGATGGGAAACGATAGGTGCGGCTATGAAAAGTGGCTCAAATAAAAGAGGGTTTTTTTCCCACCCCCCCATCGTTCCTGGTGGATGCTATGCTGGTGGCAATCCTAATGCCACCTTCGAAAAGAAAAAGAAAAATGCACACAAACTAGACGAGGAGAACCTTTTTTCCTTTAACCGACCATGATTTGTCTGACACAGAAGGAAGCTAAACGCCAATGGACTCCTAAGCCTTCACAGCTCAGTGCAACATCAGGGAGGAAGGAAGCGGCTGTTGAGTAGGCCGGGGCACAATAAAACACAAGGAGATCCGACTTCCCCTCTTTCACTTCAGTCATCACTATAAACAGGTGGCAGGGGCAGGGGAAACTTAGCCACAAAGTGCTTACAGCAGCCAGGTAGGGAAAGGGAGATTCTCACTTTGAGCTCCAGCCCTCAAGGGATCTGAAAGACGTTGAGTTTGCTGGTGTTTTTGAGTGTTTGTCGCCGGTTGCAGAACCAAACTCGGACTACCTCCCGGTCGTAATTGAGCTCCTTGGCGATCTCGGTGATTTCGTGGCCAGTGGGGAGGGTGTTTTTTTCAAAATAAGCGTTGAGGGCCTCAATGGCCTGCGGGGTGAAAGAGGTGCGGCGTTTCCGCTTCTTGGAAGGCTCCCCGCCCACAAACTCCATCAGGTTCTGCTGGCCTTCCTGATTCCGAAGCTCAGCTTCACTTAGCCACTTCTCCAGGACGGGTTTCAGCTTCTGGGCACTCTTGGGAGTGATGTCCAACTTTTCGAATCTGCAAAATCAGCAAGAATCATTGAGGAATGCAGGGTGGACTTCTTGTCCCTACTGCTTGCCACCCAACCCTGAGGAAATAAATATCCTCGATGCTCAGGTTTGATTCATTAGTCGCTTAAGGCAGGGCAGAGCTCAAAATGAGTGGGGTCCACATTGTCCCTTAGAAATACGAGGGTAATTCGGAAATAAACCTCCTTTTGGTTATCAATGACAGACACGCACAGATGCAGAACTTTTATTATACACATTAGAAAACTACAACATTACTTTTCGACATAATCACCATTCAAATTGAGGCACTTGTCATAACGTCTTACCGGGTTTCAAATTCCTTAGTAGTAGTCGCTCGGCACCAAATCTGGGCTATAGGCGGGTTGATCAAAAACACTGCAACGAAACTGCTTCAAAAGTTCTTGGGTGCGTCTAGCGGTGTGCGGGCGAGCATTATTGTGAACCAACACCACACCAGAAGTCAGCATGCCCCGACGCTTTTTATGGATGGCTCGTCTGAGTTTTCGTAACGTTTCACAGTAGACTTCTGAATTGATGGTCGAACCACGCTCCATGAACTTCACTAGCAGTACTCCTTTGGCGTCTTCACATTTGGCCGGATTTTCTATGGCACCACTTCCGGTGTGGTGTTGGTTCACGATAATGCTCGCCCACACACCGCTAGACGCACCCAAGAATTTTTGAAGCAGTTTCGTTGGGATGTTTTTGATCACCCCCCTATAGCCCAAATTTAGTGCCGAGCAACTACTACTAAGGAATTTCAAACCTTGTAAAACATTATGACAAGTGCCTCAACTTGAATGGCAATTATGTCGAAAAGTAATGTAATGTTGTAGTTTTCCAATGCGTATAACAAACGTTCTGTATCTGCAAGTGTCTGTCATTGATACCCAAACTGAGGTTTATTTCCAAATTGCCCTCGTAACTGCCATCGTAACAATAATTCCACTTAATTCAGGATTAGAAACCAATATGGAATCCTATTGTGAAGGAGCGTACACCTGGAGGAACCGAGGGGGAAGAGATCTGGCAGAGCTTTCCCAGAGTAAGAGACTGCACAGCTCCCAGGTGGATGTGGGAAGGGGGAAGAGGTTCAGTGTATCCAATCTAGAATCTGTCAAGAAATATCTAATTGTTAGAATGATATAGCTTTAGTTTGACAAGATTCTGTCCATCGGGTATAAGCAAATAAAGGATTGAACTCAACTGGACCTCACTGGCTCATCTAAGGAGTTGGGCCTAACAGTTATTTAGGGCTACAGTATTCCATTTGGGCTGCATTTAGATACTCACTAGATGATAATCAAGAGACACAAACAACTCTTAGCCATTGTGGCACAGTGGTTAGAATGCAGAACTGCAGGCTACTTCTGCTGACTGATGGCAGTTTGGCGGTTCGATCCTCACCAGCTCAAAGTTGACTCAGCCTTCCATCCTTCTGACCTTGGTAAAATGAGGACCCAGATTGTTGGGGGATAATATGCTGACTCTGTAAACCACTTAGAGAGGGCTGTAAAGCACTGTGAAGCGGTATATCAGTCTAAGTCTAAGTGCTATTGCTATCTCTTTCGCTGCCATGTAATGGATATCTGGATTTTTGCAGCCTAGATACGATAGCCCCATCTTATTGTTTTGATGGTATTGAGCTACTTTAAAGAACTGGGAAGGAGGAGGCCTAGTGTTGGTTCAAAAGAAGACTCGGGAACCTGTTTTTCTATTGAGGGCTGCATTCCACCCAGAATCATCTGCACAGGGAAACAGACTTGCTTACCTGCAAATAGCAGATTGGCTGTACGCAGGTCCTTCAGTGGCAGTTAAAGCCTGCCCCACCTGGGTTTGGGTGAGACCCAGAGAGAGACGTCGAATCTTAAAGTTCTTGGCAAACTCTCTGATCTCCTCCAGGTTTATGCCATCTTCCTCACTTCCGCTATTTGAAGGTTGAGGCTCTGGTAGGAGAAAGAGTGAAAAAGACACCATTATTCCATTTTGCAGTTTCTGACTAAATTGCACTATAAATCCTTTCTCCTGCAGCCACATGCATCTTTCATGCCACTGGGATTTTATTTCACAGCAGTTGAGTTGTGATCTGAAAATGGGGGACATTTCCATCAATCTCTTTAGGTCACACCCTAGTCTCCTTGGATTATGTGCTGGTGGTTCTCCTTCCTGACTGAGTGGTTGGTTCTAGTCCAGGGGTAGGCAACCTTGGCTCTTTTATGACTCGTGGACTTCAACTCCGGAATTCCTGAGCCAGCTGTGCTGGCTGAGGAATTCCAGGAGTTGAAGTCCACGAGTCATAAAAGAGCCAAGGTTGCCTACCCCTGTTCTAGTCAGTTGAAGAGGTTGAGCCCACAATTATTCCGTGACAGGGTGCCACGGGGCTCAGCTCTTCCCCAATTTTTATTTACTATCTACATGAAGCTGCTGAGAGGTGTCCATCTTACAGAGTAGGTTGCCTTTATAAGTAATGGGTATAGCAATAAAACCTGGCTGTGGGAGAGAGAATTTGCAAGAAGTTAGATTTTGGTATTCACTCTGTTGGTCAATGTCATTACAACCTATATTGTTTATTAATGTTGCGTTGTTCTAATCCTTTGTTTTTCTGTGTATGTGCTGTTCGTTATTAGGAGTAGAGTGACACATTAAAAAAAAGTAATACTATACGTGTGGGTTTTTTTTTTTTGGTTTGGATTAACACTTGCAGATGTCACCAGCAGCAGCTTTTTCCTCAGCAGCTGTAGGGTGTATAACAATGCCCCTTTAACACAGAAATCGGGCAACCCACTTCATGGTTTTTCTACCATAAATGTTCCACGTACGTGATCATGAACCAGCCTCCATTAATGGTAGCCTCTTTCTCTGCCTGCCACAAGAATCGCAGGGATACCAACATGCTTACTTGAAACCAGCTGGCTGACAGTTGGTGTCTCTGAGCAGGTGATGGGGACAGGAGTGGAAGCTAGTTTGGATGCTGGGGGAGGACTTGCAATGACCACAGTTGGCTGTGAGAGAGCTGGGGCAGGCTGAATTGGCTGGACCTGGCAACGGAGCAGAAGAAAGCAATATTCAGACCAAAACCGTTCAATACTGCTTTTATTGATTTAGCTTGGCTGCCAATTTTTTATAGGTAGCCCTTGACTTACAACAGCTCATTTAATGGCCATTCAACATTACAACAGCACTGAAAAAAAAGTGACTTATGTCTGTTTTTCACGTGACCCTTGCAGCATCCCCATGGTCATGTGGTCAAAATTCAGACGCTTGGCAACTGAGTCCTATTTATGACGGTTGGAGTGTCCTGGGATCACGTGATCACCTTTTGCGACTTCTGACAAGCAAAGTCAATGGGGAAATTAGATTCACTTTACAACCGTGTTACTAACTTAACAACTGCAGTGATTCGCTTAACAGCTGGGGCAAGAAAAGTTGTAAAATGGGGCAAAATTCACTTAAAAACTGCCTCACTTAGCAACAGAAATGTTGAGGCTCAGTTGTGATCTTTAAGTCAAGGACTACCTGTATTTATTTTGCATTGCTTGTAGCTTTTTTGAGAGTTTTGCAACCGCCCAGAGATACCTGTTTGAGATAAACTGAATGAATGAATGGAATGAATGAATGGATGAAATGACTATGAATGAAGAATGGCCTAATGAATCATGATGCCGGTTGCAATCGGGGTCAAATGAGAATTGTACCAGGTAGGAAATACCGTTCATTTACCTTTGTTTATTTTGTGTGATTTATACTGTTTGAATAAAGTTAACATATCTTGACTTTCAAATGCATGCTACAAGAGCTCTTACTTGAAGAGTCAGTGCCCGGCCTTCTCATTTCCCAACTGATCAGCCAATCAGATTCTAGCTCAGCTGCAGGGCACTCCTGTCGGTCTTATAAAGTAATGGTCCATAGGTATCAGCTAGTCCAGTGATGGCGAACCTTTTACAGACCGAGTGCCCAAACTGCAATCCAAAACCCACTTATGTATCCTCGAGTGCTGGGTGGGCGTGGCCCATTGGCTGGGTGTGGCCCATTGGGTGGGCGTGGCTGCGGTGGTAACGGCAGACTGGGTGGGACTAAAAAGTTCAACCAATCAATTCCAACTTTGCAAGATCTTTTTTTCCCACGAGAAGTTGAAATTGATTGATTGAACCTTTTTTTTTTTTTTTTGCACACGGCGGCAGAAGTCTAAAGCGAAAAGGTTTTATAAAACCCAGCTGAAGGACTAGGACTGGGGCGACGACACGCGTGCCCACAGAGAGGGCTCTGAATGCCGCCTCTGGCACCCGTGCCATAGGTTCGCCACCACTGAACTAGTCTATGCTAGGCATCACAAACTTCAGCTACAAAAGGAATAGGATCAGGTTTTCCGGAGCTTGGTGCTAGAAAGGAAAATGGATTCGAGGGAGGACATTTTAGAAGTGGTCTGCTGGCTCTCAAAACACTGCTTCTGTTTTCATCTCAACCCAGGATGATATTATTTCAATCAGGACTCTCTCCACAAGGGGCCTTAGTTGATAACCTGAGCACCAGCGTTGCTATATCCAGCATATAAATCCCGCCGATCACCCCGACAGATATATTTCATGCCTCAAGCAACACTTGACAAGTGGCTATTTTACACATTCAGCTACCAAGTCATCAAGGGTCAGGGCCAAGGGAAGATGTTTTGCAGCCTGAGGCAGAACAGGAAATGCTATTCCTGCTTCCAGCCAATTTTGTGACACCTCTGGCTTGATTAGCTAATTTGACAGGTGAGATGCAACATCCCACTGGCCTGCCTCCTCTTCCAGAGCAGTAAAAATAATAAAGTGTCTCGTACTGTGTCTTACATTTTAATGTTTTAATTTTCCATAATGATTGTTTGATATTTTTATAATAATTGTATTTATATAATTGTTATTCTTATTGATGTATGCCACCCAGAGTAGCTTTTTGTGAGATGGGCAGCTGTGTGATTGACAAACTGGATTATTAATCTAAAGCATATGAAGAATGGTTGAAGGAACTGTGTATGTCTAGTTTAATGAAGAGAAGGACGAGGGGGGACATGATAGCCGTGTTCCAATATCTCAGGGGCTGCCACAAAGAAGAGGGAATCAAACTATTCTCCAAAGTGCCTGAGGGCAGAGGACAAGAAGCAACGGATGGAAACTAATCAAAGAGAGAAGCAACCTAGAACTAAGGAGAAACTTCCTGACAGTTAGAACAATTAATCAATAGAATGGCTTGCCTCTAGAAGTTGTGGGTACGCCAACACTGGGGGTTTATAAAAGGTTGGACAACTATTTGAAATGGTATAGGCGGTTTCCTGCTTGAACAGGGGGTTGGTCTAGAAGACCTCCAAGGTCCCTTCCACATCTGTTCTGTTAAATAAATAACCTGGAGCTCTTTCACGACTTTTCTAGTTCAACAATCTATCAAAAGCAGTAGATTCCCCATTTCTATTTAATCCAACACGTTCCACTTTCCTTTCTCTGTAGGTGCCTCTTTGGGCATCTCGGTAATTTTGCTGCAAGACCCTCTGGTGATTTTTCTCAGCAGCTTTGCTAGTTGGACTCACCTCGCTCTTGGCAGGAGATTCCGGGGGGCTTGATTTCCTAACCATGGCTGCCGTCTGGATGGTGTTAGCCAAGGTGGCAATGATCTGACCTTGGGCATTTAAAAGCAGCTGCGGTGTCACTGCCTGTACTTGTAGATTTTGTGCTGGCAACGTGGCAGGGGCAGGAGCTGCTGTGGCAATTCCGGTTGGGTTCACTACCCATGGAAGAGTTCCAATAACCTGGAGGACAAAGGCAAGGGAAGCACCAAGGTTGCGGTGTGTTAATCTTCTGACATTTTCCTATCAAAACCACGCTGGTTTAGTTTTCCCATTAAGATTTCTGTAGCAGAGCCAAGATAGTATAAAGTTTAGGCTATATAGGACTGGGACCAGGCAGAGTCCCATTTGAGTCCATTCGTGACTATGAAAATTCACTGAATGATTTCGGCTTAATAATTATCTCTACGTCCAATCTATATCAAAACAAAAGAACATGCTTTCTAGGGTGCCTTAAACTTTGGAGGAAAGGCAGGATATATAACATGAATGAATAAATTGCATAGATGTTTTGTTTGGCAACTAAAAAAAAACAAACCAATTCTGGTGTCCTTTAAGCACGGCCTGCTAATACATTAATTCTGTTTCTGGAATGGTGCAGCACTTACTTGTCCTTGCGCATTAGTCAAGATTTGTCCAGTTATTCCTTGCACAGTAGGAATGGTGTTTGCAATGACAGATGTGGCGGCTAGTGAGCTAAGCAGCTGGGTTGGGGCTCCAAGAGAAGCTGCATTGATCTGCAAGAGACACCAAAACAGGACAATAAATAAAAACAAAGGTCAAAGGTTAGGAGGTTCTAATATATATATATATATATATTAGAATATTTGTCACTCCATGCTCCGTGGAGATGAAGCATTTAATTCTATTAAGGAGCCTGATCACTCCTCAGGAGGTCAGTTTGCACTGTTCCGTTATCTAAATAATAAAATTACCTTTGAAAAGATGCAATCTGACTAGCCTTGTTCTAAGTTAATACGTGGGTAACGATTGCCGTTTTCGGCACCAATCTTCAAATATGGCTAACGTGTGATCTGTTACTGCAATGCTTTCTTCAATAAGAAGAGAGCTGCTGAATTCTCGTTTTTCTTATTTTTAGCATTTCTCTTGTTGCAGCATCTGCTTGTTTTGCAACCGCGCTCAGCAGTCGACACAGCAAAGCTATCAACGCACAAAGTAACGAGAGTTTTTGTTTTTTAGCCAGCATGTGGTGGAGCCTAATGTTGGTTAGAGCTGAGAAGGTCACCCAGCTGACCTCTATACTGAAGGGAGGACTAGAACCTTGGGCTTGGGAACCTGGACTAGAACTAGTCTAGCACTTTAACCCCTACATTATACCATCCTGGCTCTCTTTCAAATACGTGTTCAAGTTAATAGTGTTTCGTACTCTCATTTGAAATGAAGACTGAATACAGATTGTGATTCAGATTTTATATCAGGGACTCTGAAATTATTTTAGATTTGTCATTATCGATGCAGAGATTTACATTTACTAGATTTATCAAAGTTATTCATATTGAATTCATCATTGAAATGTACATGAAATTTTGTCTATGGAGATTCTCAGTCCTCCAGGTCATGGTTGTCCCAAAGGTGCTTTTTCATGAGGTAACTGGAGTTTCTTGTTTTTCTTTGAAGACATTTTGCTTCTCATCCAAGAAGCTTCTTCTGCTCTGACTGGATGGTGGGGGAATGGAAGGATTTATATTCCTTGCAGACAGCTGGTCATTTCATGAGAAGTGAAATGTTTTCAAAGAGAAAAAAGAAAGTCCAGTTGCCTCGTGAAAAAAAACCCTTTGGGACTACTACATGAGATTTTCTTCTTTGGCAAAATCAGAAAGAACCAAAGCGATGCGGAAGACCTTTAGCTGGGTCAGAAATGTATTTATAGAAGATTTCTCTGTTCCCAACCCTTCTTTCAATGTAGCTCAGAAAGTCGTCTTCAAGGGAAGGATTTTGGTTTTTCCCCCCAGTGTCTTACTATTCCTGCAAATCCTGCCGGTTGAACTGTGATCTGTGTCGGAGTTTCCAGTGGCTTGGCGGCAGGTGGAGTGGCTGTTGTGGTCGGCTGTGACAAAAGGGTTGTCTGAGCTGGTGGCTGGAACACAGTCTGTGTTGGGATGGACGGCCGGGGCTGGGCCGTTGGCTGTGCCTGGAAAGCTTGGGCTGGCTGCAAAGGGGCTTGTACTGCTGTGTTCAGCACTGCAGTGGCTGCGAGAGCAAGACAGAAAGAGATGCGCTAAATATTGGGTCATCGCAAAATATATTTTTTGAAGGGGAGGGTCAGTCTCCAAGTTTATCATATGGCTTCTAGGTTGGATCCATGGGAAAGCAATGGGAAGAATGACTTCTCCGCATGTATAATAGTAGTAGTAGTAGTAGTAGTAGTAGTAGTAGTAGTAGTAATAATAATAATAATAATAATAATAATAATATAATAATAATAATAATAATAATAATAATAATAATAATAATAATAATAATAATAATAATAATAATAATAATAATAATAATAATAAAGTTGGAAGGGACCTTGGAGGTCATCGAGTCCAACCCCCTGCTCAGGCAGGAAACCCTACACCATTTTGGAAAGATGTATGGGATCTAATTAGTCAAGAATAAAACCTTAAAGATAAAATGGGGTAGCAGTTACAGGTAGTCCTCAACGTACGACCACAATTGAGCCCATAATTTCTGTTGCTAAGTGAAACATTTGTTAAGTGAGTTTTGCCCCGTTTTACAGCTTTCCTTGCCACCGTTGTTAAGCGAATCACTGCAGTTGGTAAATTAGTAACCCAGTTGTTAAGTGAAACTGGCTTTCCCATTGACTTTGCTTGTCAGAAGTCACAAAAGGGGATCCCATGACCCCCCCTGGACATTGCAACCGTCATAAATAGGAGTCAGTTGCCAAGCAGTTAAATTTTGATCATATGATCACGGGCTTGCTGCGATGGTGGGTAAGTATGAAAAACGGTCGTGAATCACTTTTTTCAGTGATGTTAGTTTGAACGGTCACTAAATGAACTTTTGTTAAGTCAAGGACTACCGGTATTTCATATTCAGAGGAATCATTGTACCAGCTGGAGTGAAAAGATACGCCGCACACAAAGCAATTATACTGAAACAGACAGGGAAGGTTTTGAGTTCCATGGAATTCTCCCTGCTAGTGCTAGAAATTCTCTCTCTAGTGCAAGATGAAACCAGGGGACGCCTAAACAAGTAACCAACAGCTTGGTGGGCTGGGCTCCATCATTGCTGGAACAGCTGTTGCAACTCAGAGTAACCACAGCTACCCGGATACTTTGCATCACTGGCTCCTTGCGCGAATTAACTGCTAGCAAGGAGTAGCGCCTAGGGAATTAATCCTAGCTCTCCATTTTTAATTAAGCATCGCTGTCCTAACAGTCTTCAGAAAACGAAAGTTATTTGCAAGGATTACTGACTGGAACCACGGTTTCCTTTAAATAACAGGCCACTGAAACCAAATCGTACAGCGGTTTTCTGCTGTCATGTGGACTAGGAATTTAGCGACATTATTTATCCAAGAAACCGCTGGTTATGGAAGGGAACGTCCTGGGGGCTGGAGGTTTTGATGCATGCATGAAACTCAGAAAGGTGTCCCCATTGATTTCAGAGGAGGAAGCAGATCCTTTCCATCCATGGATCTGGTTCCTGCAATCAAGTTAATGGGGAAGTCTGTTTGCAGGATGCATACAGGTTTGGACTAGAACAGGGGTAGGCAACCTTGGCTCTTTTATGACTCGTGGACTTCAACTCCCAGAATTCCTGAGCCAGCATGGCTCAGCTTGGAAACCTCTCCCTTTCCCCTCAGCATGGCTGGCTCAGGAATTCTGGGAGCTGAAGTCCACGAGTCATATAAAAGAGCCAAGGTTGGCTACCCCTGGACTAGAACCTTGGCCTTTGACATAGAGCCAAAAAGCTAGCCCTTCCTCCCTTCCCGAAGTTCAAAAAGGTTATCAGTCTCCCGACATACTCCCTCCCAGATTGAGGCTGATCCTGGTTAGGCCCAAGTGGTAGACTCTTGCTCCCCCTATGCAATCTTCCAAGACACGGTGGTTACCTTGCAAATTGGCTATAGGTGATTTGAAAATTCCCCCAGTAGGAGAGGCAGCCGTCAGTCCTGGGAGGGCAGCCACCGTTGCTGCAGGAAATGTCCACACAGCCAGCCCCTGCTGACTTGCCACTTGACCTGCAATACTGATGGGGATAAGAAGAGGTTGAGTAACTGCCCCTGCCGGAACCATTACGCCTGTCACAACTGTTGCTAAGTTTTCCTGAGTCAAGACCTGCAAAAGCAAACGAGATGTAAAAAAGAAAAGGGAAAACAAAATCAACGCCACTGCAGACAGCATCAGCGCAGCAGTCACGTCAGCCAGCCCACCGGAGGCCCAGCCCAGTCAGGAGGTGCCTGACTGAGATGTGCCGGGTGCGGCTGGGCGCCCCCTGGCCAGCAGCTGGGTGATCCAGCTCTGTAACCCTCCAATGGGGGGGCTGGTTCAAAGTCAACCATGAAAGAAGCTGGGGACGTACCCTTTTTTTTTTTTTAAAATGCCCAGCCCTGATCGATTAGTCTCTGCTGTCTGTTCACCAACCCCTTTTTGGCTCAAAAATACACAGCACAGTAAACCCGAGTTATTTTAGTTTACTAGTATCAGGCCAGTTTTAGCGAGGGATATTCCCTTCAGAAAACTGGTGCTACTGTACTGCATCCTGGGGTGCACGGCCATCCCACAGGTCAGTGTAGACTGAGAGGGAGGCGGAAATGATTTTCTTGCAATGTTCACAAGCTATTTAAAATACATGCTGCAAACAGTACTGGCTTTGTTTCCCATAAAGGTGGGGAGCAGATCTTTCTGCTGGGAAATCATTTCATGATAAAAGCTACAGCTTTCCTCACCAATAGCCAGCCAGCCTTCCTTCCTTCCTTCCTTCCTTCCTTCCTTCCTTCCTTCCTTCCTTCCTAGCTGAACTACAAATCCCAGCAGCCCTGGCCAATGATAAGAAAGGCTGCATGTTGTTGTTCAGCAATTTCTCGAAGGCCAAATGTTCTAGGATGTGTACCAATCTGCTATTTCAGAGCAAAGCTTGATAAGCTTATTTGAGAATGAAAACACGATTTTTCTTTGCAGCTGCCAACCACAGTTTAAAATATTTTGACAAGAGGCATGAGGAAGGAGAAATCTCCCCATTTTGGCAAGCAATAATAGGTGATTTTAACGCATCGCCTGTGAAATTGTGTGCATCGCCTGGATAGGGAAACATTCATTCCCGTTGCCTCTGTCCTAATGCTTAACCCACTGTTGACATCCTATGCATTACAGTATTTTCTACATAGGTGATATTTTCCAGAGTAGGGAAAAGGATTACTTTGAATGAAGGTGTTGAAATAATAGTGCTTGCATCACCATTAAATGAATCCGAACTCAAAGGCATTTTATCCATTCCTTTAAGTTCCAGAGCCATAAGAATAGTATCAAAACCCCCAACAGGGGGTTAAGAAGGATAAGATGCAGGACAGCAGAGAGAGAGAGAGAAAAATAAATAAAAAGATACTGTAGAAAACCAGTTTTATTCTCCATGTGTCTCAATATGTTCAATCTTTCAGCCCTTTTCTGGGATAATTTTGTTCTCCTGGAGAATTACAAAATAAGTGAAGAAGTTCTACATCCCATTCGAAGAGCTAAAAAGGGGCATTATTTCATGAATTTGACACTCTTAAATGTGTTATTTTTGAGAATGAAACTAATGGTCTACAGCACATTTAGATATTTTCCTCTTGTTTATTTTTTTTATGTCACTGAACTAAGGCAGTTCTCTTATTTCTAAACTGTGAGGCAATTTACACTAATTGTCTTAAACAACTGTTGCTATATGACAGCTTGTATGGAATAAAAAGTAGGCAGGCTTAACAGAAGATAAACAAGGTAAGTCTCTCTTTAACTTCTTAGTTTTTTGGGGTGGGGCTCTAATATAAAGGATTAATCATATGTCAAGTGGCATTTGTGTATCTTGCAACAGTCTATAAAAAGCCACTCAAATGCCTGCCAAGAAAACACTGGAAGAGTGCATTTAATTTCTACAAAGCTTTGTCAACTGCATCCTTAAAAAAAAACACAAAAAAACCCAAGAGCACATTTCAGAGCACCAAAGCTATCTATAACGGGGCTCTCCAACCTTGGCAACTTTAAGATTTCTGGACTTCAACTCCCAGAATTACTCAGTCAGCATGTCTGGCTGAGGTATTCTAGGAGCTGAAGTCTACAAATCTTAGACTTGCTAAGGTTGGAGACCCCTAATCTATAACATCAAGAAGTATCTTAAATTTGAGAACCTCTAAATTCCATAACATTCTGAGAATGTTGTTGTGGACTTTTAATAAAGATTCCTCTTCTGCCTAAGTATCCTGCCCATATTCATCTCCTCTATGGGGCACTGGGAACTCCTGATTCCACTAGAGAAATTGAATGAACTACAGAATTTCCTTTGTTCATTGACCAAGAGGTTCCCTCCTGTTTATGAAAACTAGAATGGTAGGGTAGTTACCTGTGGTGCTGCTTGCACTGTGACAGGAGTTAAAGTTGGTGTTGGTTGGCTTGTCACTTGGCTAAATGGCACAATTCCTGGGATAGGCACAGGTGTTACTTCAGGCAGTGCCTTGACTTCACCTTAAAAAAAGAGAAAACATATTATTCTGTTAACCTCTTCAACGATCATCCTGGTGTCAAATTTCCAGCTGGCAAATTCAACATTAAAGAAACTCTATGGCCAAGAGATAAATTTTTATTGAATACACATCCCGGCACTGAAGAAGTAAAATCAACTCTAAGTTTCCTGCACAAAGTTCTGGTTAGTTACCAATAGCTTTTCATAACCCCCACCCACCATGTGTTCATGTTGGCCAGTCACATTCTTTCTTGTTCGTTATTGCAATGGTCCACTTCTCTGCCAGACACCTCTTTGTATGACCTTGGTTCTCACAGTCTATGGACGGCCTCCTGAAACTCCTGTTTCTTTCCCAGACTCCCCCTCCCCCGTTTCTATGGCAGGTTGAGCAGCTATAGAGGTTAGCAAGCATCTTAGCAATTCAACCTTGACACCTGGATATTATATATTAAACCAAGTTACTTTCATTGGCTGAAGAGGACATCCTGAACATGGGTCAATAGACTGCATATATCTCAAACTGGTGGGATGTAGACAACAGTCTACATCAGTGGTGGCGAACTATGGCACGGGTGCCAGAGGCGGCACTTGGAGCTCTCTCTGTGGGCACACGTGCCATTGCCCCAGCCCTGACAGGTGACCCCCTCCTCACCAGCAGCCACCCTGGAGGAGAGTCGCCCCTGAGCGTGGCCCACGCAGAGCAGTGCAGCCAAGGTTATGGCAGCCAGACAGAGTAGACAAGACTCTGCCCTCATGCCCCATCGTGCACAGTTGATGCTGCGGGGCGCGGGCAGAGGGCGTGGCCATCATGGCGCTGCTGGGCAATCTGTGGCGGGCCCTGGAGGCGGTGAGTGGCCCTGCGGGCAGGTGGGGTGGGGGCGGGGCAGGGGGTGGAGTGGGGCGGGGCAAGTTTTTGGGCACTCGGTCTCTAAAAGGTTCGCCATCACTGGTCTACATCTTCCAATACTTGAAATCTTCCNCAAGAGGCATGAGGAAGGAGAAATCTCCCCATTTTGGCAAGCAATAATAGGTGATTTTAACGCATCGCCTGTGAAATTGTGTGCATCGCCTGGATAGGGAAACATTCATTCCCGTTGCCTCTGTCCTAATGCTTAACCCACTGTTGACATCCTATGCATTACAGTATTTTCTACATAGGTGATATTTTCCAGAGTAGGGGAAAAGGATTACTTTGAATGAAGGTATTGAAATAATAGTGCTTGCATCACCATTAAATGATCAGAACTCAAAGGCATTTTATCTATTCCTTTAAGTTCCAGAGCCATACGAATAGTATCAAAACCCCCAACAGGTAAAGACCTGCCTTGTTCTCCGTGTGTTAAGAAGGATAAGATGCAGGACAGCAGAGAGAGAGAGAGAAAAAATAAATAAAAAGATACTGTAGAAAACCAGTTTTATTCTCCATGTGTCTCAATATGTTCAATCTTTCAGCCCTTTTCTGGGATAATTTTGTTCTCCTGGAGAATTACAAAATAAGTGAAGAAGTTCTACATCCCATTCGAAGAGCTAAAAAGGGGCATTATCTCATGAATTTGACACTCTTAAATGTGTTATTTTTGAGAATGAAACTAATGGTCTACAGCACATTTAGATATTTTCCTCTTGTGTTTTTTTTTATGTCACTGAACTAAGGCAGTTCTCTTATTTCTAAACTGTGAGGCAATTTACACTAATTGTCTTAAACAACTGTTGCTATATGACAGCTTGTATGGAATAAAAAGTAGGCAGGCTTAACAGAAGATAAACAAGGTAAGCCTCTCTTTAACTTCTTAGTTTTTTGGGGTGGGGCTCTAATATAAAGGATTAATCATATGTCAAGTGGCATTTGTGTATCTTGCAACAGTCTATAAAAAGCCACTCAAATGCCTGCCAAGAAAACACTGGAAGAGTGCATTTAATTTCTACAAAGCTTTGTCAACTGCATCCTTAAAAAAAACACACAAAAAACCCCGAGAGCACATTTCAGAGCACCAAAGCTATCTATAACGGGGCTCTCCAACCTTGGCAACTTTAAGATTTCTGGACTTCAACTCCCAGAATTACTCAGTCAGCATGTCTGGCTGAGGTATTCTAGGAGCTGAAGTCTACAAATCTTAAGACTTGCTAAGGTTGGAGACCCCTGATCTATAACATCAAGAAGTATCTTAAATCTGCGAACCTCTAAGTTCCATAATATTCTAGGAATGTTGCTGTGGACTTTTAATAAAGATTCTTCTTCTGCCTAAGTATCCTACCCATATTCATCTCCTCCACAGGGCACTGGGAACTCCTGATTCCACTAGAGAAATTGAATGCACTACAATATTTCCTTTGTTCATTGACCAAGAGGTTCCCTCCTGTTTATGAAAACTAGAATGGTAGGGTAGTTACCTGTGGTGCTGCTTGCACTGTGACAGGAGTTAAAGTTGGTGTTGGTTGGCTTGTCACTTGGCTAAATGGCACAATTCCTGGGATAGGCACAGGTGTTACTTCAGGCAGTGCCTTGACTTCACCTTAAAAAAGAGGAAACATATTATTCTATTAACCTCTTCAACGATCATCCTGGTGTCAAATTTCCGGCTGGCAAATTCAACATTAAAGAAACTCTATGGCCAAGAGATAAATTTTTATTGAATACACATCCCGGCACTGAAGAAGTAAAATCAACTCTAAGTTTCCTGCACGAAGTTCTGGTTAGTTACCAATAGCTTTTCATAACCCCCACCCACCATGTGTTCATGTTGGCCAGTCACATTCTTTCTTGTTCGTTATTGCAATGGTCCACTTCTCTGCCAGACACCTCTTTGTATGACCTTGGTTCTCACAGTCTATGGACGGCTTCCTGAAACTCCTGTTTCTTTCCCAGACTCCCCCTCCCCCGTTTCTATGGCAAGTTGAGCAGCTATAGAAGTTAGCAAGCATCTTAGCAATTCAACCTTGACACCTGGATATTGTATATTAAACCAAGTTACTTTCATTGGCTGAAGAGGACATCCTGAACATGGGTCAATAGACTGCATATATCTCAAACTGATGGGATGTAGACAACAGTCTACATCTTCCAATACTTGAAATCTTCCAGTACTTGAAGGGCTGCCACAAGGAAGAGGGGGCCAACTTATTTACCAAAGCACCTGAAAGCAGGACAAGACAAAATGGATGGAAACTAACCAAGGAGAGAAGCAACCTAGAATTAAGGAGAAAATTCCCAACAGTGAGAACAATTAACCAGTGAACAAATTGCCTTCAGAAGTTGTGGGTGCCCCATCTCTGGAAACTTTTAAGAAGAGACTGGATAGGTATTAGTATTAGTATTAGTATAGTAAGCAGGGGGTTGGATTAGAGGACCTCCAGGGTACCTTCTAACTCTGTTACTGCCACTGTACTGTCTGCTGGCACGTAGTATCTGGATTAGAGATCCATATAATGTTTATTTAGGAAAGAATGAGTATGATTTAGACAAAGCTGGGCTTTGGTTACTGTTATGGCATGCTGGCCAAAATGTGCCCAAACTGCCACTATTAATAAAGAATGCTACTATGACTAAGGATGATAAACCTTTCTCTAATTACATGCATTATGTAACCATTTTGATTTATCCACCCTAATGATGCTTAGGAAGCTATTGAAGTCCTGATTATTTTCCCAGGCTTTAGGGCAGAATTATGGTTGAACGCCTGCTGGATGTTTTTTTTTAAATTGCTGTTTTACATTTATTTTCAATGTTTTATTATTATGTTACTTTGGGGCTGTTCATGATTCCTTCTTGGGTTCTGTATTTAAAAAAAAAAATTGTATGTTGGTCAGAGTTGTTGGGAGTTTGCCAGTCTTTAAACTGCATGCATGAGTGTTTGTATGTGTCAATAAATCAATTTTGCTGTTCATCAGGTTTTGAAGAAATAATATGAAAGTTTACTGTGCATTTGTTGATTTAGAGAACACGTATAACTAAGTGGATAGGCTTGAAATATGTTTTATATGAATATGAAGTGAATAAGGGGCTAATGAGTAAAATAATGGAAATAAAGTCTTAGGTAAGTATAGAGAGAAGGCTTAATAAACAGTTTGACACTGTTTCATGGAAAAGTCTGGAAATTATAATGGTATAGCTGTGAACTAGACTGATTTGGATTTTATTTTCTAATCTCATACCTTTAATTTCTTCTTCTTCTTTTTCTTTTCATGATCCTGTAACCCCTTTTATTGGGGTGGAGTCAGGGTGACTGAAAGGATCTGAGCACTTACTGACCGGATGCCCTTCCTAACACCTCTGCGGAATTCGCAACAAATATTTTCTCTTTGCGACCTGATAGAGAAACATCTGTTGTTGCCTACGATTGAACTCTCCACCTCCTGAGTGTGAGGCAAGTGCCTTCATCTCTAGGCCACCGCACCACTCTTTTTCTTCTTCTTCTTCGTTACTTGTTTTTTGTGCTTTTTTATAACCTTGCATACTCCAAAAGGCAACAGCACGATGGGTGTACATGTGCAAGAGCATATATAACTAGCAAGCATGGTGTGACATGATCCGTCAAGAATGAAATTCTTACTACAAGAACTACTTGAACAAGGAAAGTGACAGACAGGAAAAGGACTACGTGACCAATAGAAGTGAATATCTTGTTTTCCGTAGGTATCGTGATTTACTGATCATTTGCAAGCCAGCAACCAAGTTCAGAGAGCACAAAAAACTTCACAGTTCAACTCTTGACCTACAGACATTCTCTTCAATTGGAACCACATGCGGGCACCAAACATTTCGGAAAGCATGCATAATGGAGGCACTGATGATGTTACCTAATTGGGTAATGAAATGTCTGCAAGCAAGCAACCAATCAGGCTCTGAGAGTGTCAAGGCCTCCACAAATAAAATTACATCAGCCCCTTCCCTGCTCCCTATTTCCTATCTTGATTTTCCTCTGGGAAAAGTTTTACCTGTTAAAAAGAAAAGAAACCCCTAATTTTAGCACTCAAAACTTCTCACAATTATTTGTGATGTTCATGATTTTTTTTCCACTGCAAACTGGATGAGTTCTGAGCTGATGGCTTAAAATAAATCAGATGCTGTTTCTCCTTCAGAGAGTGTTAAATGGTCTTTAAAAACATGCAATGTTTACACACAAAAGTGGATCACAGAATTTGCAAGGGGATTCTTCTTAAGGCCAGCAGGAGTTTAAGGAACGTAACACTTCTGAGAGCCACAGATCCTGACACTGCACCCAAGCCCAATGCCCAGGAACTTGACCCTCCATCTCGTATCCACCTGATTTCAGAAATAGAAATCAGAATTCAGGGCAGTAACTGAACACTTTGAGTAGAATATTTGTAGTCAAGAAATCGCGTCATGAGATAAATATTTCATCCTCCACTACCATTTTCTAATCTGGGTAACTTCCTTGTTGCCAAAAATGTCACTCGACTGGTCCTGGCTCACTGCCAACCAGCTCTCTTCTTTGTTTGCCCACCTGTCATTTCCTTAACTTCTCTGCTCTGTTGTTGCTCGGTCCACTGCCTATAAATTGTTATTTGAGCTTTGAAATTTGGACTGTCCGATACTGCAGCTACCTGGCTCCATCCGTTACTATTTTCTGCACACTTCATGTGTGCAAATGCCCAGAAATGGAACACCTGACAACAGGCTTTAGGTCAGGGGTCTTCAAACTTGGCCCTTTTATGACTTGTGGACTTCAAATCCCAGAAGCTTTGCTGGCTGAGGAATTCTGGGAGTTGAAGTCCACAAGTCATAAAAGAGCCAAGTTTGAAGACCCCTGCTTTAGGTACTGTATACCATTCTCTATTCATCTTATCTTGTGTTTTTTTTTTTCCTGCCTCTCATGATGAATCTCTGGACTGTTCCAGAGGAATTTTTTATTCTGTAATCTCCCTGCCTCAATCATAGAATTTAGGGTTGCGGAAGAAGATATCCCGATGTCTTACATTTATAGCCCTTCTGCCCTTTCTCATGACTTCTTCCATCTTTTGTCTTATTGCAAAGGAAGAGCTGCAGAATGTTTGCTGATGGCCAGCTCCAGAGCCCTCTGTATGGAAGCGTTCCTTGGCTATCGGAGAAGAATAGAACAGGGAATTACAGCAGGTGGAAGTGGGACCTAAGGAGACCTCCAAGGTTCGGCTTTTGTGTTTTTGAGGTCTACAGTTTCTCCAATTCCAACATATCATTTTAGCAACTGAAGGTTCCCCCCCCCCCGAATACAGATATCCATAAATGACCCCTGCTAAGCTTTGTGACCGAATAAATGGAAACATGTAAAGTGCCACTTACCGCTCGACTCTCTGCATGCCTTCTCTGGGCTTTCTTGTGCCCTTTCCTGTCCTGTTTTACTTGATTCTGGAGGGCAGTTCGCAGAATCCTCTCCTCCAGCTGCTGCGTCTGTTGCTTTCAGCGTTTTCCCTTCATTTTTTATTGAGACTGGAGCATCTACTCCCACTTCCAGCACCCTAATTGTCTCATGTCCTGACATCACAATCACCTGAGAAAAGATAACGAAGCACATGAGGACATCAGGGCTCCAAATCATCAATGCAATAGGCAACGAGGAGCAACTGGGGAGATGTGCAATGGGTTCTTAAACAGGGAAGCCATCGCCCAGGGGCAGCGAATGACCCTGACTATGCAGACCGAAAGTCTCAAGAGGTCTGGAAAACTTTCTACCTGGAAGCCAGGAGAACTGCTGCAGATCTTTGTTGACAGTGATGAGCTGTCAGACTGGATATAAGGTGGGTAAAATGAGGTGGTTCCATTATTATTAACACTCCTCCATCTATTATTTTTTTTTCTCTGTATTACTTTTTGTCTTCCTGGTTTTTAATGCTTTCAAAAAAAAATAATTATTATATAATAGTTTTAGGTAGATTGTTTTTTATATATCTACTATATCCGTGGTGGCGAACCTATGGCACGCGTGCCAGAGGCGGCACTCAGAGCCCTCTCTGTGGGCACGCGCGCCATGCCCCAGAGATGGCAACCGTCCCTCTTCAACTAGCCGCCTGCTAACTCACCAAGGTCCCATGTGGCCGGATGCATCCCAGCACGACTGGTTTCCCTCCCCCCCTGCCTCGCCTCACCCCATAGGACGAGCCTCCTGCCCACCTGCCAGAGACCCCCTGGATCTCCCCCAACCCTGCCCCCACATGCATCCCTCCCCACAAGCAACATCGAGGTGACCACGCCCATCTTGGCCACACCCACCCAGTCTGCCATGACCACAGCCACGCCCACCCAGTGGGCCACTCCCACCTGGCACCCGGTGATAAATAAGTGGGTTTTGGATTGCAGTTTGGGCACTTGGTCTCTAAAAGGTTCGCCATCACTGTACTATATTATTGGACCGCTGTACGCTGCCCAGAGTCACACTCCATGAGAGGGTGGCTATATAAATTTGGAAGGAAGGAAGGAAGGAAGGAAGGAGAAGAAAGAAAGAAAGAAAAGGAGGGAGGGAGGGAGATGACTTTTTCTACATAGGACCCATAAAAATCTTTTAGCAGCCACAAATCCAGCACATGGCTAAAGTTCATTTCCTCTTGCACACCCACAATCTCTCCATATAATATGTGGAGATCTCTCACTACGGTCACACTGAACCAAATCAGTGCCTTCACTTCGTACCCTGCCTTGCCACAGTTCTTTCCTCCTTCTCCACATCCCTGGGAGGTCTGGAAGACACATACCTGTTCATTAACAGTCAGGGAAGCTTCCTGTGAGGGCACAGTTTCAGTGTCCATGATTCAGTGCCGAAAAATGGGTGCTGCAACTGATGGGTCACATACTGAAAAGCAACAAGAGTAGTATATTTGTATGTCAGACTCACCTTCAGCTCATCTTATTCTCCATGATTCATCCAGCCCTGTCAAAAGCATTTTTTAAAAACTCTTTTATCTGGCTCCTTCATCCCCCCCGGTTCTTCTCAACCCTTCTATTAAAGGAAGTTCAAAATGTTTTGCTGACTTAAGAAGGATGGATACTTTTGATAGGATGGATTGTCCATATTAACAAAGTAATGGAACCACCGAAGGAAATCCATTTCTCATCCTGGCATTCTGATGGAGTTCTTCTTGACACATGGTTGTGTTGTCTGCTTGTATGTTAGCCCACTTGGTAGACCAAACCAGAAAATTAACTCCACAGGAAGACAAAAACTGTACTTTATTGAAATAGGCAATAATAACAGAATTTTGCAACTCTGATTGTACATCAACCCCCTTCTTTCTTATATGCCAGTGAATCAAGGAAGTGTTTGCCTGAGACACCTTCCAATATTATCTTGCTTCCTGCTTTTTGTAAGGTGTTTGATAGCCTTCAACCAAAGCTAAATATAGGTAATTCAAAATAGTTGTGTATTTATTGAAGAATGATATGGAAAGCTCCTGACTCCTGTACTTATATGAGATTCAGAAAGTGACTGTTGACACTCCCCCCCCCTTTCCCAAGTAGCCCTTGAGTTCCCATTGTTCCAAGATCTATGAACTGGATAAGTCCTTCTAAGAAGACACTGAAGAGCAGTATGCCATCTGTTGGTTGTTATAAGCCTAACAGTTCTCATACAACACATTAAAAAAGAAAAGAAAAAACCAGCACAAATACACATATAATCCCCCTGCTTGAATACTGATTAATACATTGCTACATTAGATCCCACCCCTTGCGAAACAGGTCTCCCCAATTTTTAAAAACTAATAAATCTATTTGCAAACTATTGACCTGTCATCTATATACTGCATTAAAGACAAAATAGTTAACAGGGACAACAATAATAACGAAAATGACAAGATTAGTGTTTCAAAACTATTAACAAAATGTTATTGTAATCAACTTGTAGAACATTTACCACAGCATCTTATCTATCGCAAATCTTCCCAAAAGTTAAGAATAATTCATCCTGGATCAAATATCCACATTTGTTTCTCGATACTTTTTTCTTACCAGTTGTTGCCTAATTAAATATAATCCATTCAATCTCCACAACAAAGTCCAGATAAAAGTGGTTTGCAATTAAAAGTAATAAATCCACTCCCCAATCTCCTCCATCCTCCTAAGAAAAACCAGTTTGTCACCTCTCCATGTCAGGCTTCTGCTACTGTAAACAAATGCAGATTTGAACTTCAGAAAGATGTACGTAATCAACTCAGTTCCCCATCTATACAACTGATATCTCTTTGATCTACAGCTTTCAAATCAGATTCCTCCAAAGCTACATACCTCCGAGTATTTTCCATGATCATTATCATCTCATCAAACTTTTAAAAAAAGCTTTCAACTAAAAGCTACATGCTGCCAAAAGATCTTTTCTCAGATTTCAGCCACTGCATGTCTGCACTCTGAAACATTATTGCTCTATGAAGCTCATCCAGGGAACAAGGAAGCTGAAGCAGAAGGAAACAGGAAAGGTATTTTCTGGATATTTCAATCAGAGATTAAAAGACAAATTAAAAAGAAATAAACTCCAAGTATTTTGCAAATTAAAAAGATGCAAAAACCCTGTGGTGAGAGTCCAATATTAATGTAAATCAAATGAAAGCACGTCACCATCCACAAGCATGCGGTGTTTCCATACAGAAAACGAACGTTATAAATCAAAGGGAAAAAGAAAAAAAAGAGAACAGCTAAAGTCCAGTAGGGGGTTGAAATAAATCAGCTTTCAGCCAGCCAGTCTACTTTTAAAGATATAAAGCAAAGTAAAAATTAAAAAAAAACTAGGCATGCTTTAAAAAAATCTGAAATGCCAACAGGAAGATAGATGCCCATGACTTTCTGACTGTTCCCAAAGGAACTGGAATCTTCAAGACTCCCCTTCCCAAATATGTCCATGGCTGTCCAAAACTCATCTTGGGTCAATCCTAAGTGCTCCCATTCAAATCCAGGGAGCAGGACTGTCAAGACAGCCAGCTTAGGCAGCAAAATCAGCAGATTGCTGGCAAGAGAGAAAAATCCCCTTACTGTTCAGCAACCATCATGGGGAGGAGAGTTTAAAGAGATTTTTCTTGTGTCTTAGCTCAGGAAATAAGACAGGGACACAAAAGAATTTATGTCTAAGGCAGGACTACTCTCCCTATTTCTAACCTCTACATTATTGTAATCTGTCCTGGTAAGTTCCCATACTGTACTGGAGTCACTTTGACTGATTTATAGTTTTATCTATCTTTCTTTTTCTGTTGTTAGATACTTTACTGCTCTTTCTTCCCAGTTATGTGGCATCTTACCCATTCCTCAGAATATCTCAGTTCTGATTTTCTGAGAACACATTAGTAAGTTCCTTTAATAACCTGAGAAGCAACTGTCTGACGTGGAAGTCTTAAATTCCTGATAAACACCTTATTATTTTTGAACCATAGCCCTCACCTCAAACCAGCCATAGGACTTATTAATGAATATAATTTTCCTTTTGTCATAAGAAGAATCAGCTTTACCTTTTCCATTTTATTTTTTAACATTTTAAACCATCCTCATTGAGTGGATGACCTATCAATTCCATTTTTTCAAATATTCGGATACTTTTTTGGGGTTGTGCTTCAGTCCTGCCTTGTTTTTAACTTTCTTTCCTACTGTCTCTGTATGTGTGAACCAATTGTCCATATTCACCTTCCTTTTTCTTAAACATGTTATTTAAACAATTCTGGAGCCCACAAAACATTTTTGTGTAATTATTCCTCCTACTGCAGTTGTTTATCAGTGACTTTGCTTGGATAAGTTGCTTCTCAGGAAGTCTAATCTATCTTAAGTCTTCTTTGCCTGTGAATATATCCAGCTACTGAACCTTATCTAGCTTTTTTTTCTGATTTATTCAAGCCAATTTTCTGATATCCAAAGTACATACTTAATTACGCTTATTTCTACTACCCATAAACAAAGCAAGCCAAAGCTACTGCTTCTCAACCTTAGCAATTTTATAATATATGGACTTTAATTCTCAGAATTCCCCAGTCGGCTTGCTGGCTGGGAAATTATGAGAATTGAAGTCCACATATCTTGAAGTTGTCAAGGTTGAATAACATTGATATAAACTGATCTTGAAATCCGTCTGCAGAATTTTTAACTCTTCAAAGAAGTATTACTGCCTGGAAGACATAAAACAGCATCCTCTCTGTATTGGATTATTTTTATTCGTGTCAGGCTCTATATCTGTTTACTTGTTTTGGACTGAGAGATCCATTGCAAATGTTTTCATAACCTCACATACAGCCCCTGTACTGCCTTGTGGAAAGGTAATTGCCTTTATAAAAGACTTGATTCATTTTTTATAAGCAGTATCTGTAATGCACTTATTGTCTGGATGGCATTCAACTCCTTGATCCATGGAACAGAATTTTTTTTATGTAGCCACATAGGAGATCACAAATTTCAATCTCTGAGCTTCACAATTCTTGAGAAAATTTGAAACAGAGGTGCTAACTTGGGTTTGTGAGAGCAGAGCTACCATCCCAAAAGACTTCCAAGACTTTCAACTTCACTTTCCCCCATTTTCCAAAAACCCAGAAACTCGTGTTGTGTTAGGTCAGGGATGTCAAATTGCTGGCCCATGGGCCAGATGCGTCATGCCAAAACCGTGCCCACCCCATTGCCGGCAATGGGGAAAAAGTCGTGATATGTCACACGACATCATGTGACGTCGTGAGTTTGACATGCCTGTGTTAGGTCATTCTTCAGACAGTGATTGATTTGTGGTCATTTCCTGAATTAATTTAACGTCAGATTTTTTTTGTCAACGAAGATGCTATTTTCGTTGTTTCCCAATCTATGCACATCTACTTCCATCTACTTATGCTCTATATGCAGAAAATCTGCCAGTCTGCAGTTTGAAATCTTATAATGCAGAAACAAAAACATCATACCATCTTTTTTTGTAAAAATTGGGATATAGCCGAGAGCTTTATGTGTATAACTTGAATCTATTAAAACTGCAGAGCCCCCCCACCCCAGATTCACTTAGGTCAACCTAGATTCCCTCAAGGCAACTATATATATCTATATATATATCTATATCACATGCCATCTCTGTAGTTCCCTTTTCCCATCCCTTTTCCTATGTTCCATTTCTGAAACACCTTGCTCTTATCTGTCTTTGATACCTCCTTGGTGTCATCTTCCTTAAGTGGATTTCAGATGAAGGGAAAGAATGGGAAAAGATTAATGCACAGAGATAATTATCCTGTAAACTCTGCTGTACTTGAAAGAAGAATTCAAATCATTAATTAACTTAGAACAATGTCCTTATTTTAATTAGATTTACTACACAGATACTGGTAGATAGCCCTACACAGTTATTATTAAGCATACATATAAATTTACCAGTTTGGACTACCTCCCCTATGAAAAATTATCATGTCTGCAATCATTTGTCATCTAAAGCCAAAGAACCTAAAAATTACAAAACAAAAAGGGAATGACAATATCAAATAAATGCTTGATGGTTTCAAGGGTGTGGAAGCTGCAGCATTTTGGGCACTGTGCCTGCAAGAGGTTTCTAGGGGTTTTCATTAAGACACAAGATGAATTTATTCAGAATCCAAATGGAGAACTCACTTAGAATGCTCAAATAGGAACAGGATGTAGAAGAGCAGGCAAAACGTGGCGGGGGGGAGTTAAATGTGTCATCAGCTTAGAGTCGTTGCATTCCCAAAAGTGCTCCAAATCCAACCCACTGACCCTTATCTGGCGCCAATTTATTGTTGAACTTAAGTTGACCAGATTCTTGGGTACAGGCTTGAATAAATCTATGCTTCCACCT